CTTTCCAGGAACTATTAAATTATATCAAGTCACCAATCGGTAAAAGAGTACACATAAGGTGTGACACAGTATGGCTCAAGAAATGGAAAAATTTCCCAAACAAATAGAAACCATTTTTAATTTTAAAGAAGTTCTGTGATAAATGGGCAACGATGGGCCTGAAGGAGGCAGTTTGGTCCAATGGACTGAGCACTGGATTTGGAGTCAGAAGACCTGGGTTCAAACTTAAATTCTCCACATTACTAGCTGGGTGAGACTATTGGAAGTTTACATAACTTCTCTGAGCCTTGGTTTCTCAGTAAGTAAAATGGGGATAATTAGACCTACCTTGCAGAGCTGTTGTGAGAATGAAATGAGACTATGAGGCAACTTCGAGAAAGCACTTAACATAGTTAGTCAAATCTGAACCTTCAGAAACTTTTATTTGAACAAAGCAGTAGATGTGACAATAACCACAGTTAAATGCAAGTTAATCAAATCAGTTATATTGACCATAAAATATTTAGTATCCCATTCTCATCTCAACAGGGGAGGGATGTATCTATTTGCTATTAGTAGTAATGGAAGCAATATGCATCTATATATAATCCAGTGTTTGATTTTTTGTTTTTATTTTCGGTCCTAATATTTCTTGGAATGATTAACTTCTACATGAGCTGCATTAGATGAATAATAAAGCACTTTAATTGAGTATAACAAACTGATTCTGATCAACATCTAGACATGGGGAGCTTCTCTGGATTTCTTGGACTGTAAAGAACTATAAGTACTCGAAATAATAATAATAATAGGTGATTTTTTCCCAAAGGATGGGTGGCCTCCCTTGAAAGAGTTTTGAAAAATTTTGTGAGGTCAGAATACAGTAGGAATTTTCAGAGATAAATTATTATCCCACATGGCCTCTTCTTCTCTCAGAAAGAGAGCTCAGCCCCAGGTCACTACGAATCCCTCCCCAGACACATGCTTTAACTGAGGTGATTAATTTATACAGGAAAATACAACAAAGATCTTTACCTAAGAACACTGCCTAAACAATGGAATGTCTTTCCTTTGGTAGAGAGATTAAAAATTCATTCCAAAAGCAGAAGCATTTGAAGATATATACAAATTTGAAACTTTTAATGTATTCTTCTGATCAAGGCTGTCTGTTAATGGCTTCTAAATATGTATGAGCCTTAACTTAGTCTGTAAATTGTAGTTCACGTAGACCAAATGGGGGTAACTCTTCTTTGAAGTCTTCATTGTTTCTATTCATTGATGCCTAAAGGTAACTGGTGACTGGATTAAAAATTTTTAGCAATCCAAATTTCAATGAAAGCAACAAAGTGATGCATGTTTGATAAGATTTAAAAATTCTGTTTCTGAAAACTTATTTTTAGTAGCAACAACGTGGCCAGTGTTAGGCTAAACTGAGAAAATAACATTCTGCCTGCCAGAGACAGAAAAATAATCTTAGAAATTGTGGAACCTGAATATCCAAGAAAAATCTTATTCCTAAAGAGACATCCCAGTATAGTAAGAAGCACTAAACCAGGAGTTTAGGAATTTTGAATTCTAGCTTTGCCGCTTCCTAGCTCTATGATCTTGAGGAATCACAGAAGTTTAACATTGTTCACTTTGGAGATGATCCATTCAAACGATTCCACTTTATAGCTGAGGAAAGTGAGACAAGAATTTGCCCAAGTGTGTAGTGAAGGAACTCCTAGTCTAGTAATCTTTCTACTACAACAAGAGGCTTCAGCTTCTAAAGGAGGATCATCTTGTTCAGATTCTTCTAACGATCATGTCTATGAACATGCTGACAGAGTGGAGTAGTGCTTTATGGTTTTAATAAGGTAAGGTTCCACTGAAATAAAAATAAAAGTAACAAAATGCCACACTTTTGCAAACACCATTTATCAGGGCAGACCAATTCAGCATAAAACTCAAGTAAAGCTGGAAAATGCCACAAGAATAAGAAGATGATTTCTTACACAACTTTGGTTAGGAACTTCCATAATATTCCTCTGCAAATACACTGAACAATGGAAAAGATTTCTCATAAAGCCTCTGAAGGCTTCTCTGTTATTCCTTCACTTATTTTTGCTAATATCTGAGGTATCAGGGCTTGGTTGTGTTGGAGGTAGAATTTGTGGGTGTAGATGTGTTAACCAGGAAACCCCTCTTCAAATTTAACAGTTTAAGGGAGAGAGAATCTCCACAATGGAAGAAATAGATGGTACAATGTACATTAGCTGGATAATAATCATGAATAATATTACCAAAAGTTACAAGGAAAATAGCTAACATTTATTGCATGCTGTCCATGTGTCCATACTGTGCTGAACTCTTCATAGTCAATCGAATAGTATCCTGTAAGTTGATGCCCTATCATATCTGTGGGAATAAACTTGCAACGCAGAGCCTGCCACATTCTGGGGAGGGGAGTACCCAGAAAGCAGGGCTCACAATGGAGCAGTTGCAGAAGGTGCTGACGGTGGGAGCTTACCCCAAGGACTCCATAGATCCTCTCTAACACCCACAGCACCACCGTTCCTAAGTCGTAGAGCCCAGAGGCAACTTGGGCCCAGGTGAGCTTGCAAATTGATATTCATTCCCACTTTTGAGCCCAGAAAACTAAAGGTAAGTGGAGGAAACACTCTTAATCTCCCCTGTCTCTTCTCCTTGATTCTCCTTTCTCTTGGTTTAGGCCAAGAGCAGAAAATCATGGAGTCGCCAGTGGATATGGTTTAGAGCTGGCATGAAAGAACAACTGCCTTAGCTGAATACCAACTAGAACTCTATCCCCCCATTGTCTCCTGTAAGATCCTCTGAGGAAGGCCATGGCCATGTACACAGAAGGATGCTTTGCCATTTTAGCAGGTTTACCACGTTTTACCACATATATTTAATATGTGTGTGTGTACACACATACATATATACACACAAATACATAATGGAGAGAGTACATAGTACAATTTATGGCACAGAATAGCACTTGATAAATGGTTCTCTTCCTCACTCTATTCCCCAAGGAGGCATGTAATTAATGAATGGCATTTAGGATGCTGAGATACAATTCTTTCATTCCTTCAGATTTCACTGAAGATTCACTCTCCTGATTGTTTATTATCTCGGCATAATCATTCACTTTAGAACTCTGGGGACTTATAGTACATCGAATAGGTGATAAGCAATGAGTTTGAGGCAGAGATGGTTATTCAGCTGATGAAAAGTCAGTATCAACGGAAAGATTACACCCTCTGGATCAGTTACTGCTACTTTTGGAGATGTTAAAATCTGAAACTATTCCAGTAATTCCAAATGGCAATTTCTTCTTGAAAATGTTCATTGAATCCACTTACAATAGAGTTTTTATTTAATTAGGTAGCAGGCTCTGCCCAATAGCTCACATAGATTATATTTGTTTCAGTACAGAGCTGACAAGAAAAATGACCGTCTGGTTTCCACAAACAAAATATCCTTTGGGTGTTTCGCAAACTAAAGGAAACTACCTAATGATTAGTGTCTGTCTCTTTTTAATCAAAACCCCAAAATCACTGCAGGAAACCAGAACAGAACAGTATGCGGTTATCAAGTCACACACCGATAATTAAATATTATGTGTTATTTATATATACCAAAATTAATCTATACTCAGGGATGATCAACTAGTAAACAAAATTATAAATGTGCAGTAGCTAAAAATGGAACAACATTAAACCTTAAGGCAGCATTGGCTGTGTCTTCTCTGGCAAAGCAAGTGTTACATATTTAAATGACCAGTAATGATTTTTAAAAACAATTAAAATAAATACTGATTTTTTTTTTTTTTTTTTTTAAGAAATACGACTGATTTTAGAACTCCTGCAAGATGAATTGGTATTGGAATTTTAATTTGGGATTAGACAGCATACACAGGAATGTAATGGTACAAAGTTACAGCAATCTTTCCTCAAATATAAAATACAGATACCTAGAAAGTATTGCTGTTAATCCGCACTCTTTGGGCTCCTTGTTCACTTACTGTTGCAGTCAGAACAGTTAAAATTAGAAAATTCTGCTGACATGTAAATAGCACGTGCTCAGGTTGAATGTTACCTGAGTGCAACTGTTTCAAACTGCATTAATAAGCTGTCATCAGGCTCTGATTTTATACTTCTGTCCTTATGCTAGGTTTGCTTACCTGGTAGGTTGCCTAAATCATTGTGTTCCAAGCATTGGTGCCAACCTAAAATGATGACATCTGTAGTGGCCAAAAAGTCATACTTGGACAAAAATATTTCAAAGCTCTTTAATAAACACATTTTAGGATTTGATTTCTTTGCAGCTTGTTTTGTTGGATTCTCCTGGTTAAGTCTGAAGATTACCTTTAGTTGCTTTACAGATCCAGTGCTATGTGCTGACAGAATAATTGTATGACACAAAGAACAGATTTTTAACAAACTAAAAAAAGTTCAAATGAAAATAGCTTCCATGTGGTACTGAGAAAGAAAACGTAGGCACTTCTGCTTCAGGTTTTCACATTTTGATTACAGATTGCTTTTCCAAGCCCCTTTCACTACCGGAAATTCCCTCCTGGTAAAAACCACCTACAGTATTTTTACGAAAATAATGCAAGCCTTTTATGTTTGTTTGCCAACTGCTCCCCACCCCTCCACCCCTCGCTGTGAGGTATTTTCATAAGCACTGCTATGCCAATTTTTTTAAACATGTTGCTGTATAAAAAAATCGGCATAGTGTGCTTACGAAAATGCCTGTGCGGGGGAGGGCGGGGCTGGCAAACAAATATAGAAGGTGCGCGTTATTTGCATAAAAATACAGTAGTTTACTGGAAACCTTGTTCTTACACACACCACTTCAGTGCATTAATCTTCTTTCATAAAATTGTCTCCGTTGACAGCAGAAATTGAGTTTCTCTCAGGGCTGAGAGCAATGCCAGCAGCCTCTGCCTCCCTAACTGCATGACTGAGTGCAGCTCCAGGACCTTCTATCACAGAAGGCTGCTTGCTTTGCAGAACCAAGTTATCCATCAACGAAATACAGAGGAGTGTCAAGTGCAATTTTTCTCCTGGAAATATTAACATGTCTACCTCTCTTTTCTACTTCCCTATTCTGAAGGTAATTCAACAAAGTGTATATTCTCCATAACATTCTAAAGCTACTAGGCTACTGGGATTTTTTTTTTTTTTAAACGACTACTTAGCCAGTTTTCATTTTTTTCTGAGAAAACTTGTGCTAAAAAGGCACTAGATAAAATGAATTTCCTTACTATTGTTTGTAGCAATATACATTGTGTCAGACTTTATAATTTAACAAAGGTGAATGACAACTGGAGAAAACATCCTAATTATTCACACTCATTTACTTTCATTTAGAAAACAAATCCAAAGTCCAAGGAACAGCAGGCCACACTGATGGAGACCACCTGACCATGAAGTTAGTCATTCCCTGCCTCCTTGGTGCTCTGGGTTGCTGCTGACCCTGGCCTTGGCCTCCTGAGTGGGCTCTCACTTATCAGGTGAGCAGGGCAGTGGCCTGGACCCAGGGAAGACTCACTGGCTGCAGCTGTGGGATCCAAGCCTCCTGGAGACCTGAGTAAATGAGACGAAGGTGAAGTTCTCACAGTTTTCCAGCTTGACCTTCTTGGCTAAATTTGGGACGATTCCCCGCAAAGACCGCAGACCCATTCTCTGCTCCTCATACCACACACTGCCCACGTCTGTGGCCTCCTTCCTGGCAGTAAGGTAGAAGGGGGACTTGGCCTCCATTTGGGTGGGTGGCCGGTGGATATACATGTACTTATAGAGGAGACAGTAAGGACACTGTTTGTGTCCCCTGGAATGCTCATGGTAGATTTTCCCATGACACACTCTTGTGGAATTGCTCCGACTCTCCCGCTTTACGCTGTCCGTCCGGGCAAAGTAGGGCTGGTTTTGGGGGTCTTTGAGCAGCTCGATGTCACCATACATTAGGTCTGCATGCTCCTGCAGTGTCCGCATATTTAGGTATTGGCTGTTGTATTTGACCACAGTGGACAAGAGCGTGATGGGGCTGTCATCCCCTAGACAGCCTGCCTGCCACATCTCCTCCTCATCTGAAAGGGAGAAGTAGACGATGTTGCGAGAACGGGCACCTGACATCCCTGCCTTACTCAGAACCCACAGCTTCTCCTTGAGTTTCTTGGTGGAAGAACTGAAGGTGCTGCTGGTGATGGAAAAGCCCACACCTGCATTCTTCAAGATGCGGTCTAGGCCTCGGCGAATGGCATGGAGCGAGGTGGCCAGGAAGTCTGAACCATCACTCTTCTTAACGGTGACATAAAAGTTCTCAAGCAGCTCATTCAACTTCACTGCAGGGATCTCAAATGAGACAAACACTGAGGTTATACATTTGAGGACACCCAGCCAGACCCCTCCTTCCTTCTCCTAATGCTCACCAGGGGCTGTATTGTGGACCAGATCTTTTGTGGTCTCTAGAGGGTTGACCCCTTAGCGTGATAGAGTGGAAAAAACAGTGTACTTTAAGCTGGGAGATCTAGGTTCCATATTTGGCTCCACTTAATCTCTTTAAACCTCAGTGTTTCAATCTGCAAAATGGGACACAATAATCACTACTTTCTCAAAGGATTGTTTTAATGCTTAAATAGTTGATGTGAAAAGGCTTATAAACAGTAATGAGCAAACACACATATATGTATGTGTGGAAAAGAAAAAAATATATAAAAATTATTATTACCATTGGCCTTTGTAACTTTTACTATTCCTCTCTTCTCTTTTTTTTAGCATATCATTTCCCTCCCTCCAACAAAATTCAACTATCCTCTCTGCAGAATTCTTGAACTAAACTTATCAAACTCTGACTCACTTTCGCATTAATTTCCTTGAAATCTGCACGAACTATTTGGTAGTGCTGTTACAAAATACGGTGCTGTAGGGGAAGATGGCTGATATATCCACTTTGCATAGCTAGTTAATGTTGCTTGATTTTTTATTTGAATTTATCTGGAAAGGACCTGAAATATCTCTGGCTACCAGGTTTTAATATCAATATTAGTTTAAAGGATATGAAAAATTAATCATTATAATGATGATTAGAGAGACCTCCTTTATTTGGGTGTAGTGGAAGGAGAAGGAAGGTTGGCTGGTAAGAAAGCTTTATTTTCAAGATGAAGCTAGAAAGAGAAAATCAGACTTTGTTCATAGTCTATTCAGGCTGAAAACACATTCTAGGACAAAAATAGTCTCAATAAAAACTGTTCATGAAATAGAAACTGTACAGCTAATGTTCATTCTTCTAATAATCTTCGGGTCAAAGAGAAAATAAAAAATGAATTATAGATTAAAAATGAGCCAAACTATGTGAGGGAAAACTTTTAGAAATGGATAGTGGTGATGGCTGCACAACATGGTAATGTAATTAATGCCACTAACTTAAACATTTAAGAATGGTTAAAAGGGCAAATTTTTTGTTATATATATTTTACCACAATAAAATTTTTAAAATGAGCCAAACTGAAAATATCACATATTAAAATGTATAAGACATTGCTAAAAAAAAAAAAAACAAAAAAAACTTGGATAACATCTCAGTCTTGAATGACTTTGTTAGGAAACTTTATTGAAAATAAGCAAACTGATAATTCAACTGAAAATCTAGAAAAAGTAAACCAAATTTAAAAAATAAAGAGTGAATCAATAAATCTAAAAACATAAAATTAATGTACTAGAAAAATATAAATTGGAATATATAAAAAATAAATATATGTAATCTTGGAAAAGACCTAGAAAGTTAGCAAACTTCTAGCAGGTCTGAAAGAAAGAGACAGAGGAGCAAAGGAATTAATACATTTAAGCATTAGAAATAAGAAAGGTTATACCTACAGAAAATACAGAGTAAAGAATATGAAAAATGCTATATACTTTATGCATATTAATATAAAAATCTAGATAACCTGAATAATTTCCTAGCAAAATATAAATTATCAAAGTTGATTCAATAAGAGGCAAAAGATCTGACTAGCCCCATACAAGAAAAGTAGTGAAATGATTGTCAAAGGTCTATTACTCCTAAAGAGATGACTTTATGGGTGCTTTCTAATAAACATTAAAGGACTTGAATTTTCTTTTGCATTTAAACACTTTTGTTGTTACTGTTGGGTGTCTGGTAGATTCCAACTCTTAGTGACCCTATCTGACACAGTAGAATTGCCCCATAGGGTTTTCTTGACTATAATCTTTATGGAAGCAGATCGCCAAGTCTTTCTCCCACAGAGCCACTGGGTGGGTTCGAACTGCCAGCCTTTGGGTTAGCAGCCAAGTGCTTAACTATTTTGCACCAGGGCTCCTTTTAAACACTTTTAGGGCATAGGAAAAAGACACAACATTTCTTCATTAATTTATAACCAGAATCTGATCAATATTATACCAGAAAACAAAGTAAATGAATATAAATGTGAACTCCCCTAAGTAAAAGACAGGCAGTCTTCATTTTGCATGGTACCATGCTAAATGAAACACGTACACATTAGAAAAGTGCAAAGTGAGGATGTGGCTTTGATACACACTAATTTCAGTTAACATGGTACCATGTAAAACAAAGTCAAATTCAGGACTGCAGTAAAACATTACTAAATCAAAACAAGGAGGGATTTTTGCAGAATGTAAGGATGATTCAATCTTAAGAAATATTTTAATATAATTGATTTATTCACACATTAAGGAGAAAAAATATAAATCTTGATAAATACTGAAAAATCATTTGAAAAAAATTTCATATCCATTTCAATTTTTTTTAAAACTCTCATTAAATTTAGCTTGGAAAAAAAAGTTCTCTTACTATGAAGAAGAGTATTTCAGAGACAAGAACCATAAAAATTATACCCACGATCAAAATATTAGAATCCTTCTTATAAAGTCAGGAATAAGATGAGCATGCTGAATATCACTGCTATCATATAATACAGTTCTATTGTTCTGGAGGTTCTAGCCAATCAAAAAATATATATACTTATATGTATATAGGAAAGGAAAAAGACAAAATATAATTTTCCTCTGATAATATGATTGTTGGTCTTGAAAATCCAAGAGATTCACCTGAAAAGCTATCAGGAAGAGTAGGGTAGCTGTATACAAAATATAAAAAGCAACAGTTTTCTTATATACCAGCAATAACCAGTTAAATTAACTTCCCAGTAACCATTACACCCCAAATGAGCTGGTTTCAGATTTTTATGTTGTCACTTCCAACTCTCTATTTTCAGATGTTAACCTCTCTGTGCATTAGTTGGGACTCATCTGTTTGCAAGAGACAGACATAACTTGAACAATGCTAGGCAAAAAGGGATATCAGAACAAGAGGACTCCAAGGCCATCAGGACACTTTCCTTCCTCATCTCTCTTCTCTGTGCAGACCAATAGAAAAAATTTAAAGGATGAATCTGATTGGTCCATTCCTGATTCAAACAATGAACCAAAATGTGGTCCACTGTATGAATATTTTAACTTCTGCAGTAACTATGTGGATTGAAGGAGAGGAACGGTTCCTAGATAAGGGGTGCTGAGAAGAAAATCTTATTTATTACCTTAGTACTTAAAAATAAATAAATAAATAAAACCACCTCTGATAGCCTCTGTTGGCCTTTGGATAAATTCCAAGCACTTCACCTCATTTTCAAGTCTTCACAATCAGCTTCCACTCTGTGGTAGATGGTTTACAAAGATAGCCATAACAATTCCTTCCATCCCTGTACACACACCTCTTTGCAATATGACTTTGATGCTCCTATCAAAAAGTGGAATCTGTTTTCCCATACTTTGAATCTGGGCTGGTCATGTGACTTATTTTGACCAACAGAATGCAGAAGAAATGACAATGTACGAATTCCGAGCCTAGGCCTCAAGGGGCCTTACAGGTTCTGCTTTTGTCTTCTTAGTACCTGGTGTTGCCATGTGAGGAAACTCAAGCTTAGCCTGTTGGAGCATGGGAACATGAGGAGCAGAGATGACCTGTCTATCATCTAACATCCAGATGTCTGCATCACATGAGTACCACAAGTAAGACCAGTAAACAAACCACTTAGAGGATGCTGTAAAGATGGTGGCATGAGCACATCTAGGATCTCAATCCTACCCACATGAACACCAAAAAAGCAACCCTGAAGAGGTAGGCAAAGGATGGCATCAAGAAGCCACCAACTGAGAGAGACGGGAGTAGTCAGATGCTTCCGGTGGATCCTCTTACAACAAAGACCCGAAAAAACAAGTGAATCAATTATATATGACAATCTAGGAGGCCTGAACATCTAAGGCAAAGTTGAGGAACTGGACTGAGTGGCGGGAGAGGAAGAGACGGTTCGGAAGCAGCAAGGAGTTGCCAGACCTGACGTGGGGAGAGCCTGAGCCCTTCAGGCCTGATCAGCTCATGGGTGAGCAGTAAGGCATGCAAGCAGCAGTGCTTGGGAGGTGCGATTTCCGCACTGGGAGAGACCCAGCACCAAAGAGTCTACTCGCCCACCCAGAACCAGTGAGAAGCAGCCCTAGATCGGCGAAAGATAAGTACTTGTGTACGGCCTACCACGTGGATCAAAAACACCCCCCTTAGGGAAAAACCTCTCTCACATTTACCTCCCTGCTCCCTGCTCTGCACTGGGTCCCGGACCGCCATCAGCAATTACCGAGTCCCCTGGGCTGCAAGTAGGATCCATCACACGCCCTGAGCCATTCTCCCGTCCTTGGAGAGTGAACAAATTAACAAATGGGAAAAAATAAACTGCTGGCTCCCCTAAGCCAGGAACCCAGGGTAGGCACAGCTTCTTTGCCTAGGCACAGGCATAAGAGATCCATGGACTTTGAGAGCCTTTCTCCCTGCAAAGGCTTGTGTGGGCCCATTTCAACAGTGTAGGCCCTCATTATCGCAGTACAACAGGGTATATACCAGAAGTCTAACTTGAACTGTTTCAGCTGTGAAGTGGCAGGTTCGTGACATTTGACACTGCTCTGCCCATTAAGCAGGGTCTTCACCTAGCCACATCAGGGGCCTGAGGACTGGTGGCTCTGCTCACGCCACCTAGCCACCTGTGAAAGAGGCCCAAGAATAAGAGGTGCCCCCCAGTCTTTACGGCCAACAGCACTGGGTGCTCACAGTCTGGCTTCAAAACCCACCCACCTACACACTCTAGGGAACAGGGACACTCCTTCCTCCTGGACACCAGGAGGCGGAAGTCAGCCCCCTGCCTTGCTCAGAGTGTGTCCCCCTGCTGCAACCAGATGTCTGTGCCTATGCCAATCACCCATGCCTGTCTAGGACTGTAGATGAGAGCCTACACCACACACTTGGTGGCTATCTACCTGGGCACCTGAGC